TGGAACTTCTGATAGTACGTCGAAAAGTTAGGGATAGCATTGCGTCCCACGTGGACGGACAAGGAAATAGGTTCGGAGGATGTGGAAGAAATATGGCCTTCCTGAGTCAAGTCTACAGGAATTGCCGCAAATTTGACTTCTCGGCATGGCGATGAATAGGATGGAGGGTAGAATGCAAACATCGGCGAATTTTGCTTTGACGGGACCAATGCACTAGTGAACTGCACTGATTGTGATCGATCTTGTGATCGATCCTTGAGCCCCTGAGGAAACCATTCAACAGGGCTCGATCCGCCCTGGAATCCACACAGTTCCACAGGAGTGTCTGTCCGATTCGTGTATCCAGTTCGATGAACTGTGGCCATCATATTCACTGACGAGTCTAAAAGGCAGGAAGTCATATAACCAGGTATAACTTCCATTTGACTGGGACACACTTTGATAGACTTGGGTTCCATTAGGAAAATATATCTCAATCGTATAGTTGCTCTGCAAATTGTCTACCGGTGCCTCCAAGACTGGGACGGGTTGCATGCGTGTCCGAGTCAAGGACACGTTTACATGGCGTGGATAATCATTTTCGATCGAGAGATAGACCGGATCGAAGGCTGTTATTCCTGCAGGTATCTCTGAGGTGGTACCATTGCTAAATTTGATTTCGACGAAGTACTCGTAGATCGATTCGCCTGAAATTGTCTATTCACGACAATGAGCCCACAACATCAAATCAGTAAAAAAAACCTGTCCTTACATCAGTCTCTCGCAATGAATGATGCACTCCGGCTTGTCGGTGGTCTACTCCTGGAGGGTAGTTTGTATTTGGCACCAGGATACCGAATCGAGTAGTGAAGCTCGTTGGCAATGTATCTGTTCCCAACAATGAATCTGAGTCGAGAATTTTCGGGATAGTAATCCTACCTGCCCCAACTACGCTGACAATAGTAGTCTTGATCTCGAAGGCAACCCGTTCCTCCTCGTGTACAGCCCACAGGTCCTTATTCTCGAAAGTCTCCTGGTACGCCATCCACTCCGTTTTGTTGTACTTGTACTCCGGAGCGTTCGAGCCAGGCACGCGAACTTGAAATAAATCACTGTTCGAGTTCGCAGGTATGGTACGTTCGTACTTGATTTCTGGTGTTTTTGGAAGCGGCGCATCTTGCTGTCTGTGAGGAATGTTCTGCGAACCAGATTCGAGGATATGATGAAAACTGCTCACCTCAACTTCCAGAAGATTCTTTCCTTGTAACGCAACCCTAGCGCATAGCTCTCGGCATCAGCGCACGGTCCAATGAGTTTAACCTTGACGTCCCCCGCGATAACATCGCCGGGAACCATGTCGGGTGCTCTCACCCATGCACGTCCCTGACACTGGTACAGTGCATCACCCGGCTCTTTGGATTCTAGAGAGGGGTCAGCGAACGTAGCTCGGCTAGCTGCTAAAGTAAGCGCAAGGGATAGCCAGCGCAGCATTGATGGGAGACAGTGATATGGAGACGCCATGATTCGAATTGTCCTACATTTATAGTCAATGACAATGTCTCTTTTGGTAAACTTAAGAAGATAAGGAACGAGCTGTCAACCAGATGCAGGCATTAGGCCAGGGTATTTTCAGTCACTGGTACCGTTCATTAGATGTGCCTAGGGCTACCAGATGCCGTCAAGGCTGTCCATGATGAAGACACCGGTAAGAGACCGAGTGCTGCCCCACATGGCTCTGCAAACATATTTAGCTATTTCGGAGGCAGTGAAACGGCGGCTTGAAGCCGCAGGAACAGGTACTTAGCTCTGCGGTCGTTCATAGGTGTACGCTCTTGCATCATGTGATATTTTATTACACGATCTCTATATCTTGACGTGTGCAGTGTAACAAGTTGAAGGGAGACGTCCTGGAGGTTTGCAAATCATATTAAGCAGAAGCTTGGCGAAGGTCGAGTGGGACGCGGAAACTGCTGTAGAGTTTTCGAGTTTCGAAGAACCAGTAAATTTCATACAGACGTTAATATTGGCTAATAACATCACCAGCCATGTTTGTGAAAACTCGGCAGGAATGCAACCGCTTCGTGCAAGTTACACCGGCAACTTAAAGAAGGTCGCAGGTTCGCATCATCGAGTAGGGACCCGCCGGGACAGTTCGTGTGATCTTTAATCTGGAGCTCAGCTCCTCGGCTGAACCTCCTTCAAGTTGCATCCGAGCCCCGTCACGGTGTGGATACTAGCGAAGTCGTTCAACGTTTAACGTAACCCCAACTTGAACTTAAAGGTTGGGGTGCTTACGTAAATTGTGTGTGATCATTCCACTAAAATCGGTCATAGTGCTATTAGGAGTAAAACAAAGCAAGTACCAAAGAAAATAGTAGAGTCGGATAGAAATCATCCTCCCATTCTGAAAATATCCATGGACTTCAAAATCACTGCACAACAAACGAGTGGTCAGCCGTCAACCGTATCTGTTCCATGCTCTTCAACAATATTTTCAGGCTCATCGACCAGTGCGTCTGATTGATTACCAGGATTTTCGACGATCTCCTAATGAATAAGTTCTGTTACAGTTTTAATGCACCGTGATGATATCAAATCTCCTGATATGGTTTACTAAGATAATGAAATCTCTGTAGGAGCACAGATTTTTTCGCTTGCTGTCCAAGCTACTCGCCATATTCCCGTTCACGCCACGAATACATTGATCGTAAAATCTTTGGTATAGCTGCCTCATAGCATGGTGACCAGACAGTCCTGCTGGGACAATGAGCTTTTCGGGAGTAAACAATATTCAGTTTTTGGATTTGCCACTTTACGAGACGAGAGGTCGTCTGCTTGCAGCTGATTAAGAACTTGAATTGTAGCTCAGGATAACGAGATTTCACTCACCGAAAGCTTGAACTCGCGTGGGTTGATACCTTCACACAGGTTCAATCACTCCCCCTGAGGAAATTGTGAAGATGCTCAGTACCTTGCGCATAGTAGGACTGGTCCACGCTAAGAGATACCGTGTCACCATGATGCATCAGCCTGAGTAGCGTTTAGTCGGATATAAAGGCAAATGTGTGCTTCTGGGCTGACTCCCTACCGCCCGTGTATAGAAGCGAGATAATAACTTCCGGTCCAATAACAACATCATCCACTGGCAGCTCTCCAGAATTGCAACAATGAAGTTCATCTCACTTACCACTATGATCATGTCTATCGCAGCACTGGCAGGTATAGCTGCAGCGGTAGATCCCAACGGAAAGCCCTGCGCCAAAGCAAGTGAGTACCATCAGGCTAGCGTGTTTTGGATACGCGGACTTCGGACTGCGTACTTACGGCTGCTCGTAGGTCAGTTTGAGTGCGGACTGCTCCCTGATTATAACAACGGGAACGCGTTTTTGTTTTACTGTTGGTCAGACTACACCATCCTTACTGTTAAAATGTGCTCCTGTCCGACGTGCTGTACCATCATCGGAACAGGTACTAGTAATGGTGACTACACTTGCGACTAAGAAGCAAGGGTGAGCCTGCTTCTGGCTCACCGTGTCCATAATGTCCTAGTGATACGTTACAGCTGTCTCCCAGTTGTACTGGCACTGGGGAAATAGGGTTTGAGCTTTGGGGGCTGTTAGGGTGTTAAATATTTTGGCTTATGAATATATTCAAACCACTGTGTGACTCCATGTCCAGCTGCGATACATCAGTCCCACTTCAGACTACAACTATGGGCAACATGAGAATATGTTACTCATCAAACGTCAATGTTCGTTCGCTTTGGCTTCTGGGAATCTTTTACTGCGTCCGGAAGTCCACCACTGCGAGCACACGAATGATGTGACTCCTGAATCGCGAAGATGTGTAGCACCCCGTGGGACTGGTCCACCATTGGCCAGTTTGATAATGGCATCAGTAGATCCAACCGTTTTTCCAGTACAAGTGCTGGGAATTACGGATTTGAAGGCCTGTCTCTTGGCAGAGGAATACAGCAAAGCGTCCTTGTACGGGATGAGACGACGAACGGACTGGAGACCGACACAACTTACTTGTGAAACGCCTCCGAGCGTTCTCCGAAAAGTATAAGGTAAGACGACAAAGCGGCGGAAAATCAACAGCAACTTACACGTTTGACACCTGCTCTTTGGGTATCATCCAGCAAAGCTTGCCCAGGTAGTGCGCAATCTGAAATTCCCATGTCACCAATTTGATATGTTTGCTATCGGCACGGCGCATACCATGAAGGTCACAGGCATGCAGTGATGGCCACAACATATGATATTTTGTATGAGAGTACTAAGATATGAGAGAAACCAGCTCACCTCAACCCCAAGAAAACTCTTTCCTTGTATGTAGCGCAAACCTAGCACATAGCTCTCGGCGTCAGCACACGGTCCAATGAGTTTAAGCTTGACGTCGCCTGCAATGACATCGTCAGGAACCATGTCAAGTGCTCTCACCCAGGCACGTCCTCGACGCTGATACGGTGCATTTCCCGGCTTGTTGGATCCTTGGGAGGGCCCAATGAACGTAGCACGGCTAGCGCGATGAATAGCCAGCGCAACATCGATAGGAAACGCAATCATTGGTCCTGGTCATCCTGCATCATTTGATCAAGGGGAAAGGGAAGTCACCAGCAGAGACAGGCACTGTTCAGTGATGCATATTTTTATGGCTTCAAGAAATATGTATAACTAGTTGACCATTCATCAGCTGTACCTCACGGCTGTCAGTCGTGAAAGTGATTCCCACTCGAACGTGAGTCGATGGCACCACCTGTGTACCGCCAAGAGGGTCTGTAGTAGAGTCGACGGTTGTACAGAGTCGACACCAGGTGGCGGACTCCTCGGACATTGCGCATCTGTATTTGTCGTGTAAGACGGATGGTCAAAAGGTCGCGAAATGACCATGGTCCTAATTGTGCGGTGTGCACAAGTCTGAGTCAGCTTGAACAGGTGCGTCGAGGTCCGTGAGAGTCGTCACTGGAGAGAATTTGCTTCACTGTTGTTGACATCAATAAGAAGCCGCATACCAACATGTCTCTGGTAGTATATCGGATAGTACACCCGCCTGTCATGTCATGGTGCGCGGGAGAGCGGGGTTCGACTCCCCGCCAGAGAGACTTTTTCGCAACTCGTTCGTGGCTTTGCCCAAATATTTTTATGCTAGTTCTCAATCTAATATTCCATAGCTTACGCTTCTCTGCTCACAACGTTGAGTGCCATGGGCCATGGTGATGACTTCGTTTATTTAATATTTTTACTACAATTATACAGAACTTATCTTCAACTCAAGAAAGTCAAGTGAACACCCAGCCATAACACAACTATTATCAAGAGCGCGTCGAGCGAAACGAAGGTGAACCGAACAAGAAAACCTTTGATAGTGATGGACGAAGCGGATAACACGATGGAGACGGCATGCGGATGTAGCTGAACGGGATGTGCACGGGTAACGCAAAATGAACAGAGCGATGACCAGTAAAACAGCGTAATGCAAGCGAGAACAGAGCAAGCAACGATGAACGAGGTGTCCGGATTGGTACTAGTGCATTTGCGCGGATTGACAAATTGAGCACGAGCAGACAGTGGGATGTGTAGAGCATTGAGACGGAACGCATCAGCGACAAATCAAGTGCACAGGTCGAAGAGCATGAGGCATAGCCGGGTCCATGAACAGGCGCACGGGTCGGCAACAAAGCCATTTGATAATCATATAAGGTCAACACATAATCAACAAAATCAATGAACAAAAACGAAGTTGGCGTTGTGGGATGGTGTGATGGTGGAGTTGCACAAAATAAACATTGGTCATGATGCTTGTGGGGTGGATATGATGCACGCGGGGATAGATGGTGTGGGTGTCCGTGAAATGGATATGCGTTTGAGTGAGTGGGTAGCCATGATAGAGAAATTTGAGAGAAAGGCAGGAGACCATTGTGCGTCGTTGGCCTTATGAAGCTTCATCCTTGACATCGTCTCCGCCTGCTGCTGCTTGCCGCTCCCTTTCCGCCCGATTCTTTGCATGAATAGCTGGTAGCTCCTCCGCGAGAGATACCTGCTCGCCCTCTTCCCACCGCTCCAGAGCCCACTCTCGCACAAGTATACTCACCTGTATGATTACTAGATCAGCCAATACACATGCGTAGGCCATTATGACACACCTTCATGAACCGTTTCCCAGCGTATTTCTTGTAAAACGATTCATGACGGATGGGTTTGAGAATGTAGTTCAACATCAGGTTGGCGGTGGGAATTAGGGAGCTTTCCGCATAGGACGCGTAATGGGCGAGATTAGCAGACTGGGATCCAATAACGTTATCAGCATTGTCGAGAGGAGCCAACGCACGGCACGTACCCATTTATCATTGCCTAGAATAAGGCGTGACAACCAGATTGCCGCAGCAGCGACTAACGAAGGTGGCGTGGCCAGCAAACGCCACTCCAGTGTCCCCACTTCTAGTAGATACTTCCCCATGGTCCTCGACTTTATATCGTAATCGTCTGCCTTGCTTATACGCCGCAAAAAGTGCATTGGGTTTGGGAAGCTCAAGTTCCAGTCTATAGTTTTGAGGACGTAACGCTCTGCGAGCAGAATCTCAGATTCGGTGTACGATGAATCCGCGCAGTGAAGGAAGTGCGAAACGGAAGGTGCGACAATCTCTTCAACCTTGGAAGAGATGAAGAGGCAGGTAATACCGACAAGCTGAAGTTTTGCAAGGGAGACGACCCGGGCTGACAAGAATCGATCGATTATATTCACGGAGAGGAATAGCGTCTCGGGCAGCAATCGGAACCGGGCGTGTACTTGAACTAGCCAATCGAGCAATATCCCGCGCATCGACCAGGCCAGCTCTTTTTGCGAGGCCATGTATTCGGGATTGGGGAGGGTCGTGAGCTGAAGGTGAAGTATTAATTTACGCAGCATGGCAAAACGTTTGAGGACTCGAACCTCGGTCTGCCTCATGTACTTAAAGATCTCGACAACATACTCGCTGACCATCAATGGATCCTCGGAATCCTCAGCATCAAGGTCATCCCACTCATCACCGTCGGGGTCAGCTTCTGGTAAACCATCTGCGTCAAGTACAGCCGCCACTTCCGCCTCATGTTGCGCCAACTCGTCCACGTCGGTCTCTGGAGCGTCAGAAGATGTTCGCCGCTTCTTGTACGCACGATCATCTTGAGCATCGTCCTGTGCCTCAGCCTTTATGACAAGGTGCGACGAGGTCCGCCGAGCAACCTGAACACGTTGCACTTCTTGGACGATCACTTTCTGGGTGTTCGCACCCGACCTGCGGGTAGAAATGCGTCGCGTGGGTTCAGCAGCCGGTGGGTGTTCGTCCACAGCCATTGCGTCGTCATTAGTGGCTACTTGTTCCTCCTTGACGTCTTCTAACAGTTTTACCTCCGGGACTATGGCAGATCTAGTAGTACGACGAGCGAAGGTAGTCGTAGTGGCATCCTTGGTCAAAGTTCTAAGAGGTTGTCTTGAAGAGACAGGCTTCGCTTTGATAACTACACCATCGAACGTTTCCTTTGTTGGTGCTGCAACTTCCTTGCCTTTGCCTTTGCCGTCCTTAGCATCTGTGACAGAGGCCTTGTTCTTATTGATGTTCTTGGTGGTGACCTCGCCGAGAGCTTCACGTTTCCGCTTGCCTTGGAGAGCAGGATCGACCTTCTCATCTGCCACCCCGATTTTTGCGCGTGAGGCGGCGGTAGCGCCCATGGCCCTGGATTGGAGCGTGGCCGAGGTAGCTGTAGTGGCGGAAGTAGAGGGGGGCTTCGCACGGGGAATGAGACGAGATGGGCGGGCGTTGGCATTTTCGTTGTCCTTCTGAACCGCCGTCCGGGTGACTCGCGTTACACGGCGAGTCTGTGGGATCGATCAGCCATGGGATCAAGAAGAAATCGAGAAAATTAAGGGCTCACTGGTAAGTTTGAGGACATAAGGTATCTATTGTATGCTGAATGTATTATCTGATGGGTGTAGTAGATGGATGAAATCGAGAACGAAGAGCGAACGGGTGAAGGAACGGTTCAGATGGAAGGACAACTACTTGAACTAATCCGGAAAAGGCCATTTTAAATTCAACCATCCACACAAAATACTGACAAACAAACGCGTCCGCGTTTCATCACGTGCAAAATGCCATTATCCACGCGCTAATTACTTGTCATTCATAAAAGTTCATAATCAGTGGATAGACCGTATCCGATTGTTCTACATAACATGGGCATATGTACTGGCATTATCATAACGGAGTCCGTCGTGACTTTTCACCTCGCGGGCGTCGCATGTTGGATTACGCTGTTGTTATGTGATCAGATTCTCATCGGCTACGCTGTCTTATTGCGTGTGATGATGTACATAAACTGGTAATCGGACTCGGATGATGAAACTAAGTTTGAACTTGGTTTGAACGTCGACAAGTTGCATGGAAATGCAGTATTATTACAGGCTCGCTCGTTGCACTGACTAGTAATTCTAATAGCGTATAGTAGCAAGGAAACAAAGAGTCCAGTCCGAGAGATCCACAGTCTAGTCCGAGAGATCCACAGTCTAGTCCGAGAGATCCACAAGTTCCCCCGAAATAAAACTACCTACACATATTCCTATGCCCTTCGCAGGTTGAAGGGCTATCCTGGGATACAGCAGCAACAATACCTGAGAAATTATTAAACCTCGTGAAGATCCTCCAAGGAAAGCACCCAAGTCGAATGCAGCATCCGACTATCGCTGAAGAGTAATTACTGTGACGGAGACGCGAATGCTTCATATGAACATAGTCAGAAATGGACACACAAACCTCATCCGGAACTGAAACACAGTGCGAAAGTCAAACACTGCAATCGAAACAGATATGTCAACAAATTTCGAGCTTACCACGAATCTCCAGGGTCGCGTCGTCACGATCCAGAGAAAACTTCCGCTTCGTGGATCCTTCATCGAAAATAACATCGATTGAGCTAGCGATGGCATGAGCAAGGAAATAGAGAGAGTCGAGACCACCATCATTGACAATGTAATGTATACCCGCGTACGCAGATATCGCGCCCGCGAGAAGTGAGTTCGGCAGTACGTCGAAGGTGAAAGCAGTCCATCCAAGCACAAACCAAAGACGCACAGCGAGAGGAAGGGAGTGAGAATGGGATGAAACAGGCTGATGTTTCGTGTTGGACGACTTCAGAGAGATCGCTCGACCAATTTTAAATGCGTCTTCGGTGGTTCGGAGAATGTCCTTCCCCAAGTCCAGGTTAGGTTCACCGATCTTGACTCCAAGAGAGATAAAATCGGCTAGATACACCAGTAAACCGGTGAGTTCTTGGTGGTGATTCTCACGTCAACTGCGGCGTTTTATATTGCTTTATGTTTGTAATGTGAAGAAAATAACTCATCTGCTGCACAACATAGAATAATATAAAGCGAATTCTGTGGCTCGCCAGTTCTCTGAGCTTCACGATGCACCTCGCGACACCCATGCATGCTCTGTTGAGATTCCTGCTTGCATGCAGATACATACTGCAAAATTCAAATGACTGAACAGTGAGCAGCTGAGTTTGAAGGTGTTGTTTCAGCTTGTTTGGATTAGAAGCTGTTGTCAAACAACGTCAAATTATTGCGGACCTGAAAGTACTGCCAAGACCCAGCTCTGCCAACTCCGAGACTGGCAATCATATGCAAGCCTGTGTATGGATTGGCGACTGTCGACGGGTGTCGGACTTACTAACTGTTACGAAGATTTATGGAATGGCTATCTCTTTATTACAGCCAGGAAGAATCATGAATATTCAAGTTGTTATTGCTCGATATTTTACCTCCAAGTCGTCACCTATTTGACGATACAACTTCGAGCCCTCAGGGGGTTTTCTCAGGCCACGTACTCTGCGAATAATTACAACTAAAATTTACATGCGTATGATGTGAGCTACGGACCTCATGTAGGCTTAAGGCTGCGTAACATAGTTAATTGTGATACATATGTCGCAAGTGACACTGGGAACCCTCTCATGGTTTTAGTTTCTCTTTCATCTATCATAATCTCGTCTGCAATGCTTGAGTGCAAGCTGTTCCAGTCATTGTGATAAGTATATTCGTGTATCACATTGAGAATTGTATTC